AACTCGCAGCCAAATTAAATATCACAAAGGCGTCACCGCGTGCCTCTTCTGTGCCAGTTGTTTTCAAAATCACTTACAGTCCAAAGGGAGAGCAGTGCATGGGTCCCGCTGGATTAATTAGCAGGTCTAATGAAGCATAAAACAGGTGGGGGGCCGCATCTACCATATGTTTTAGTGACACGTCTACTGGTAGTGCTCGGGATGTGCCGCCATCATCTTTGACTCCAGGCCGCCATGTGGCCAGATGGCCGGGGAGGGGAATGACAAGAAGAGCCGGCGGAATGATCCGGTGCCTGTTATTTCTCTCTTTGATGGGTCTCTGTGGGAGAATTAGACTCTCCGGATGCTTCCTAAGGTACACCGGCACAATATAACAAGACCCGGTACAAGAGCAGTCTCAATGATCTGATTTTCATGCGTAGTTTTGATATCGAATGCTCGCGTAAATGCTCCATAGCGGTATTCACTCGACCTGACGCCAAGCTTCAATTCTCGGTGCGTGTCGTACTCCATGATGTTGTAAAAAGTAACTTGTCAAAGTAATACTAGTTTAGATGTAATATATTTGTATATAAAGAGCTCGTGGCGGATGGGGCTCGAGTGCAATGGTTGCCTGAGTGGAAATGAGACAAGAGGTGTGCTTGTTGCATTGCCAACAGAGTGAAAAACAGCAAACGCTCCTCTGGGGGGAAAACGTGACAAACAAAACCAAACGAGGAGACAATTTCTCTGAGGTGGGCTGGCACCGTTTGTGCTGATAATTATTGCAGTCTACAGTGCTCCCTGCGGTTTGACGTTCCCTGGTACTCTCAGAAGTTGAGGAAATCCTCAAGGCCCCTCGTTTATTGAGACACGGTCATTGAACAATGGGTGTATTATTGCGGTCTTATTTTATAGTGGCGGAAGTCGCAGAGTGATGTTCTTGTGAAGATGGATGTCTTACTTAGCAACGTGGTAAATGTGAGAAACTGATTAAAATTGATCAAGACTACCTTCGTAAAGACAGAAATTTGCTCACAGCTTTGAGATGTGATTTGAAGTACCAGTAGATTGTAAATGGTGCCTACCTGGCGGTGGCTAGAATATGTTCGTATCTGGGTGACCATCGCACAGACAAGACCTCCGCTCGGTGACCTGAGATGGGAATAATGTTAATTTTTATCACCTGCATGTGTATAGCATTAGAATACTTATTAATTGAAAGATCATGGATTTTTTTTTTCTATTTTTAGTTGTTCAATTCAAAATGTGAAAACATTAGATAGATAACACTACTCAGAATCAAATGGGGTTATGTCATCATTTTGAAACATTATTGTAGTTTCCAGGTAACAACCCCCCGCCACCCTCCCAAAAAAAACCAACAACACAAATTCAATCTTAAATCAATCATCAATCTTAAATGCTTCAGATCATCCAACCAATTTTCAATATCTCCCAAAGACAACCAAATTAAATATGAACTGCACTTTCTCAACCATTCACTGGCCAGATGCATACTTATTATACTTACAACTAGGTAGGTGTAATAAGTATGCAGCAATATGAGAAGTCGGGAAGGGTGCAAGTAATTTTTCACAGCACTGTACATTATAGGAGTGTGTTTGTGGTCCAGAACACTAACCCTGCAAGACTTGGATCTTTGAACCGGAATTCAGGTCACATAGCTGTACTTTAGGATCTTTGGTGCCAACTAAAATAAGATAAAGACAAACACAAAGTACAATAAAAAAAAAAACATTCAGACAAGACAAAAAGATGGTTAGGCAGAGTTCTACAAGGGAAGGGTGGAGGAGAAAAGCTCCGAAACTGGACTCCCAGGTTCTCAGAAACAAGGTGTGGCAAATCACAATACTGATAACAACAGCTAAGAAGACGAGTGCAAGAAATGCACTCGACAAGCGAGTTATTGCACATTACAGCATGTGAAATTCTGCTAAAATACAAAGATATCAAATTAAAACTGCTGACTGGCTTTTTGGAGGGGGCTGATTCAAAGGTGACTTGTTCTAGATCAACAAACAGGCGCCACACAGAGAAAGTTTTCTTTTTTTTCTTTTTCTTTCCCTCGGAAGCACCTGTGTGACTACAACAGCTGGTATGGGTAACCTGTTGTTCCTGCTCGGTGATGTGGTGGTGCAACACATACACCTCTCACATCACACATCTCTCTGCACTCAAAGTCTGGTCTATAGGCATGTGATCTGAGATAAAATGAGGAAAAGTGAAAGGGTGGAGATCGGTGTCTGCAGATGGTGGGGGATATACAACTCGACATTCCTTTTGAAAAGTATCTGCTCATTCTGCGAAGCTTTTATCAGCAATTGCATGGCGAGCGAATGCATACCTGCGATGAGACTGTGCTTCCTGGCGATGGGCGACAGGTGGTGGCTGTAGACGGTGTCCTCAAACTCAAACACTTCAGCAGGCTAGGGTAAACCAAGACAAAATGGGTGTTAAAAAAAAAAAAAACACGCTTAGGCTAAACTCATACAGTTTCGCTACTACTGTAATTGCTATATTTAAAATTAAAGATGACTTCCTGTGCCACAAATATGACAAGTATGTTGGAACTCATAGTAATATCCCATTTCTTCCAGCTAGCTCACCTACTTTTAATTTCAGATCGTCACATTGATGTGTCAGATGTCAGACTGGTTCATGATACAAGACATAATTACAATGTTGCCGACACACACACACTTTGTTTTAAATTAAATTCCATTCTGAAAGTCATTGAGTTGTTACATTGGGTTTTTGGGCCTACTGCCTGCCTCACAGTTCTGAGGTCGAATCTCAGCTCCTGTGTGGAATTTGGATGTTCCATCTGTGGTTGTCTGGGTTTCAATGGCTATTCCGGCATCCTCCCCCAATCCAAGAACTAAACTGTCCATAAGTGTGAATGTGAGCACGAGAGTGAATGCCTCATATGTCTATATGTGCATATAGACATATGAGGCATTCACTCTCGTGCTCACATTCACACTTATGGACAGTTTAGTTGGCTGGTAACCAGTTCAGGGTATACCCCATCTCTCGCCCAAAGTCAGGTGGGATAGGCTACAGCTCACCTGTGACTCTAATGAAGACAAGTAGTAAATTGATGGATCAAGTATCAAGTATCAAGTCAAGTATCAAGTACAACTTTATTGTCAAATGTACAGCACAGATGAAATTTCCTCCCTCTTAAACAGACAACAAGAGGAGCCGCTGCGGGTGCCCGCGCCGCCATCAAAAGAACACTTAACATAAAATGACAAAATTATACAACACAACACATAAAACAGACAGTCGTGCCATCTTAACCACTTTTCCTCCATTCACTTTGTTGTTTGAAACAATAATAGATGATAGAGGAGCGAATCAAAGTGTCCTTTTCACCAGTGGCTCAAAGACGTCATGCTGAAATGTGCACACGTCTGCTACAAGCTAAGCTTGAAAGCAACAAGAAGTTGTAGCATCCATTAACGAAAAAGAGATTAGCTCTCTTCTCCTGTCCCATGTAAATCTGCTTCAATTCCAAGCCGCGGCTCCCAGTTTAGGGCAACCGATTATTACACAGCTTCAGCAATAACTCACTGTGTCACATGTGTACAGCATTAAGCTGGTGTCGAAGTGACGTATGTTACCTTAAGAGTCTCCGTGTCCCACACCTTCATCGTCTTGTCAAAGGAACTGGATACAAACATGCCAGTGTCATAAGGATACCACTGGACCGTTTCTACGCTGAATTTGTGGGCATACTTGCTGGATCTGCATTTAATGACATGGAAAAATTGCTCATTTTACGAATAATTTGGGATTTAACTGTCAGAGAAGTTAAATGAAGAAGTGAAGGCTCACCTGCCGATGGTGGAGACTGCCTTGCAGGTGTACTGCGGTTTCCCACTGAAGTTCTCCAGGTCATAGATGACAATCACTCCATCGGCACCTCCAGACAACATGCTAAACAACGCACACGTAAGACCACTGTCAATTTGAATCAAATATCATTCAAATAGATTGTACAGTGAACCGCTGTCCAATTGAGAATCATCTTAAGCAAATTCATCAGGTCACATTTTATCCCCTGGAAGTTAATTAACAATATTTGCTGAAAGTATGTAAAAAAACACGAATTGGTGAGTTTTTCAGTCAATAAACGGGGATAGATTCCACTGGGGGAAAACGAGAACTGTGACTCTGCAGAGGATTGCTCCAGTTCATCGGAAAGAAAGGTGAACATGTGACTCACTATTTGCCTTCAATTACTTCAATATCAACAGTATTGACACCATTGGCGTGGATTCTGTCCATATCTCTGTCTGCATTCAACTGTAGGCTCAGTACCCTTTTAAGATGCATAAAGAGGGAGAATAACACCGTTAGTCAATAAAAGCGAACGATAGTTCTTGAAGTAGCATAGATCTAGTAATATGGCATGTATTACCTTCTCGTCGCCTCCACGCGTCTGAGTCGCAGAGGGTCATCCAGACCGGCCCTCCTCGCTGCCAAGTAACCCAACATTGTTTCAAAATAATATAATAGGGGGTAATATTTGTGAATATACAAGATTTATCCGACGCCAACAAAAGAGCTGGCATGCTATCGGTAGTAATGTAGGGATTTTCTACAATTACATTCCGCACATTATAGCTCATCGTACACATATACAACAATAAAATCTACGATAGAATATATCGTGCGTTCTTAATAAAGCGGATTGCTTTTAATTTCTTTTCCAGGACAATACATGACGCCATCTTCAAAAGATAGGAACACTTCCGGTAACAAATGAGCTGATTGGTTCAGCAAATCCGATTTGTGACCAATCGGAATGGGTGTTGTTCAGTATTTGCCCGCCTCTGCTGCAAATTCGGTTTGTCGAAGGGACGAGTTGAAGACAGGTGGCCAAACATTTCGTGGCAAACCGCCATTAAACTCTCGAAGAAGAAAAAGAAGAAGAAAAAGAAGACGGTAGAAGAAGACAATTGACCAATCAGAATGCCGTTTATTTCCCCGCCTACCGGAAGCCTTGCATAAACCACCCGAGTTAAGTGCAAACAGATAAGTGTTCGCAGAAGACAGCAAATCATTTTCTTTTACTTATAAATATGAATAAAATGATTGGCGCTTTGCGGAGGACGTTCGGCGTGGTGCGAGAGCATGTCGGTACGGACCATCTGGGCAATAAATATTACATTGTCCCCGAACAGAAGACATGGACAGGTAAAGTGTGCAAAATTTAGCTAATCTCAATGCTATTTAGTCAAACAACTCCCTAATGAACGCTTTTAAGCCGTGTGGGTTTGTACAGATTTTACTTATTGCTGTCCCTTCCCCCTCTACGATACGATGTTAGATCTGTTATGGATGACCTCAGTTGATTATGGATGATCTTAGCTGCGTTGCTCCGAATGATTTTATATATCTGTTTACCGTAGTCATATTGACATTCGTCGTGGCCATTTGTCATCTGTGGATTTTTGCAATTATAACTTTCAAAAAAGTGTGCTTAGTTTTAAGAAGCCCTTCCACCTCTGTAGTACAGTACCCCAGACTTACTGCTAGATGGGGTACGAGGCTCAAAAACAGTATTTATCTGCTGGTTTCAGTCATGTGCAGGTACAGTATTAGTTATCCGGTACAACTCATTCTTAAAATTAAAAACAAAAAATAAATAAATAAAAAGAAAACCAACAACACTTCGGAGACAAAATATTCCCATGTCAGGGGCCCATATAATTAGCCACATAACCAATAACAAAATCATGAACCCTTTTCACATTGAATGTAAAGCTCTGTTCCCTCCCGCCTCCTTTTGGAGTGTTATTTTCCATACAAAAGGCAGCAATGCGCGTAGTGGGGGCCTTAAATCAACCTGGTGGATTATTTATTGATCAGACAAGGACACGTGGAACACATTATTCTGGATATTCAGGTCTTCAATATCAGCGATAAATTAAGTGGATCACAACTGTTCCAAATCAGATCTTCCAACCAGATGCATCGATCAAAGCAGCTGTAAAAATATAAATAAATAAAATTAAAGTAAATTCATCTACTTTTTTTTTTTTTTTTTTTTTTTTTTTTTGGAGCATTTTTAGATGGTATCATAAGCTGGCACTCCTGTTTATCTCCGTCGCTGTTCAGTGTAAAATTGCACCGACACACAACAGTACTACAAAGCCCACTCATTAATTTGACCTTTGTAGGTGGTGTCAGAATCTTGTTCTGTGCTGCCCGTAGAAGCTGCCATGTTTCCCTTTTTTTCCCACTCTCTCTGTTCCAGTGACGTACGTTGAGGTATATCACTGGTGAGGCATTTGACTCCTCTGAGTTGGATATGAAAATATGAACCCAAAATAGAAGACTAGTTTCAATTCAATTTTGGCCTGATTTGAAATACTTGTCTTCAAAGTTTTTCATTGTGCTTCAATAAATTCCACACCGTTCAACAATATGATGGCAAGAAAACCAAACGAATATTTAATGTAAGGTCAAGTTCATTGTTGTTGCTGAGTTGATTTTTGCCTTTTTTTTTTTTAAATCATTTTGGATTGGATTGGATACAACTTTTTTGTTTTTAGTTTAGTTATTTAGTCGTACCTTTAGATTTAATGTTATAAAAGCCTCGAATGTTAAGTTACCCACATGTCTGGTATCATAATTACATATCTGAGGTTTCCAACAACCCAATCCGTGCCAAAATCGGTGAAAAAAATTCAATGAGTTGTCACGATTTTATTGGAGCCAATCACAATTCCAAGTGAATGGAAGAGAGGGACTCCTGGTTAAAGATGGCTCCTCAGTCTGCATGTCCTCAACCAGCTGAGGCTTCCTCTCAGTGGTTATGTATGTCAGTGGGAAGAGCGCCATGCTTTTTCTACGCATTGCGCCAGCGGAGCTCAGCACTGCTAACTGTTGGCAGCGACAAGGTACGTTCTTGGCGCCGTCGTGCGTTTTCAGTCGCTTTGCTGGCCAATCAGAAAGACTAAATATGTCACTCATTTTCATTAAATATATCAGACAGATTGTTGAATGCCAGTGTGTGCAGCACATGTGTGATAAAACGTGTGTATTGAAGATATCAAGACAAACCACAATGTCTCTTGTGTGGGGGCACGTGCCAACTGCTTCTGTTACCACTGAAAATGCAATGCTGCCATTCCCTTCTCGCCCATGTTATTTTATGAATTTTAATTATGAAATCAATGACATTATTGGGTTGAAAAATCAAATCAATGTAAAGCACAGACCAGATAACTAAAATGGAAAATAATTGAATGTAATCCTGATTAGTTTTTTTTTGTTTTTGTTTTTTTAACTCTTTTTATAGGGGGCGGGGGCTTTGCATCACCTGCCTGCCCTGACTGCACGTCACTGCTCTGTTCTGTATCAAGTTGACCGGGAAACTTTTACTCCTGAGTTTTTCCGCCTTGTTTCACTTTCTCAGTTTTGTATCAACACTGTATGGTGGGGTCCAATCAGTCACTTTTCGCTTTTCCAGGTCGTATTAGACTCCTGCTCTCGGCTGCCTTTATCAACTGGCACTTTTTCCGCCTTCTTCTTTGTTCTAGATGTACATATCAATACCGACACGGAATCGAGGGTGCAAAGTCAAGTTGGCGATTTTCTGCCTTTGAGAGTACGATCACAAGCCCTTTTTTTTGGAGGGGGGGTAGTATCCAAAGGCCTTTTTACATACATGGTCTCCAATAGCCCTACTTTCCAAGGTTCCGCGTGCTTTTCTAGTTTACTGTCTGAATAAGTGCCTCTGACAACAAATTATGCAATGAAGTCGACCTAGCAATTTTCCACCTTTGGAGGTGTTACCAGACAAGTAACAAGAGTTTGGATGATGTCTGTGATTATGCAATTCCGGGACTGCGGTGTGCAGTTTAACACCCGACCCTCACTTCAACAGCCCCGTTGCACCAAAGTCATCTTCAGACAATGTGGAGCACATTGTAATTAAATAGATGATAGACTTTCAGTAATAATTAACTGTTTGTGTGAAGTTATGTCTGAGTCTGGGGACAGAGAGGCCAGCCTCCAGCAGGCTTGCACGCATGGTTTCATTCTGACTGAACTTGACTTTGTGCTTCACCTTTTTTCTTTGCAGTTTGATGGGGAAACTTGCGCTCACCTCATATTTATAATTCATTACAAGGCTGCGGGCTGCCAGACTATTCAAATGAGACATCACACGAGCCCATTTCCCCATCACGCTACAGGCCACCGTCTGACTGGCCAATCTCGATGACTGACACCGCCGGCCCGGCGAAGCAAACAGATCGCCGGACGCCAGGCGCACACACGGACGCGAGCGCACCAATGCATTGCTAAAAACCGTAATATATGCCGCTCGTATTTTTGTCATCCCATTTTTCTTGCCACTCTGTCCGGGGCAAGCTGGTGGAAATAAAAGCAGATGCATTATTCAGTCCATATGTCTTGCTAAAGCGAGCTCTTTTTGATCTTAAACTGATAGGCCAAGCGTGGGCTCGGGGCCTTGAGGCTTGGGCCGCGGGGCTTTTTTTTTTTTTTCCCTCTGCCACATACCAGCGGTCGGTTCAGAGAGGGTGAGCGAGAGCTCTCTCCGCTCTACCTACTTCTTTCTATTCATTTGTTCATCCCCCAGTGCTTGTGGTTCATCCTCCTACCTTTATCCATGCTTTGCTGCTCCCATTTTCTACCTCTCTCGGACTGTTAACTTTGGAAAACTGGGGCGCAAGCAATCTTGCGTGTGGTAAACTATGTATGAAGACTTTAATAGTTGTTCCGAGAGGGGACTAAAAGGACGGCGCCGCCTTGTTTATCCCGCAGCCGAGTGCAAAAAGTGTGAGGTTATGTTTTGATCTTGTATATAGGATATTTATTAAGCAGAACTACCGGTGCCTCAAAACTGTAACCTGTGTTACGGACAAATTGACAGGAAGAGTCATAGTATAGCGTCGAGAGCGAAGGCAAAGCAACAGGGGATGCTAACATTAGCATGTGTTTGTTATTTCTTTGCCTGTCTGCTGGAATGACGTCAAGTTACCATGACCCCTTGCCTTTCTATTTGTTCCAGTTATCCAAGTGTCAGCAAAGCCATCCAAGCATTTAAATCTAAATTTAGAGAGCCATTTGTAGTTTTACAGCGCAAACAGGTCCGTGTGTACATCGACTTACACGGCGTTACTGTGGTTGTGAATAGACCACAAATTAACCACAACTGTCACCAAGTGCCCGACATAAATCGTTAATACATAGAATACAACACCTTTATTGTCAGTTTGCAAAATTGAGGTTACGAAAACACAGAAGTTAGCCATTAGTAGATTAATAATAATATAGGCATATACTACAACCTAGGATTCAGGACGTTGATGTCACTGTTGCAATGGCGAGACAGATTCTCAATCCCTGTGATCAAGCTTTCATGAAAGGAGAGCGGCAGACGGCGGCGTCTCGCTCGCTGGGTGCCGAGCTGGGACACAGGGAGAAAAAAGAAACGGAGCTTGAACCTTCGCCCCTTCTTTGTTGCATGGTGAAATCGTCTCGGCGAATGTCGAAACCGTCCATCCCCTTTGTTGTAGCGGCTCGCTGGTAAATGTGTTCTTAGAACAAGTTGTGTCGGTTCATTGAACGTAACAGCCAGGTCATCACAGAGTTGGCTCGAGGGGCTCTCCCTTCGTCTTTAAAAAGTCCGAACTGAATGTCATTTCCACCTTGAGAAGCACCCGCACCAAACGATGTCACACATTCAGGTTATTTTTCCTGCAGATGGCGTCACAGTAGCTTGAAACAAGCGAGAACTGGAAGCTTATAACCTTGCCGTGCATACGGTCCATAGTGGTGCACACCACAAACACCTGCGGGACCGACAGTGACTTGACACATTCTGATTTTTCACTCCAAATAGTCCGTTGAACATGTTGCGGCTCATCGAACCTTGGACATTGTCTGCTCTTCGACTTTTGTTTGTGATTATGTCCGGCCTCGGTTCCACCCTGGTGCGAGGCCTCTTTATTTTCCTCCACTTAGTCCATCTTCGCTTTGGCCCGCGTTCTCCTTCTGTTGCTGCCGCTCGACTTTTCAGCCCCCCCCTTTGAAGTCTTGCCAGCCAAGATTGCAATTCAGTACAGAAGAGTAGTTCAGCATTGTGGAGTGGTTTGGGCTCAGCAGTGGACACCGCCCCCCCCCCCCCTCCTTCCTTCCAGTGCCTCACATCAAAACGAACA